ATGGGAACCGGATGACTAAGAAGAAGACGAACCTGCCAAATGAGTTGGTACATCGACCGAGGATGGTACCTGCAGGAGAAGGAGATGATGTCACCACCACCACTCCCTGGAAGCTGTCGTAAGTGCTGTGTAGTGCTGTGCTCGTTGAACATTTTTTCAATTGTATTTTTCTTATTGTATTTTTGTATTGTTTTTTCTAATGTATTTCATGTATTTTTTTCCTAATAAATTTTTCCCAGCTACAGAGTCTCCAGAGGAGGGAGATACTGGGAGACTGGACACTAAACAGAAAAAAGAATGGAATACCTGCATAGCACAATTGAGGACACATTTGTGGTCAAAATAATAAGAGGTAAATCAGCAGTCGGTAAAAGAAGTTGCGGATGACAGCGCAAGAGTTAGAGTGACAATATTACATAAAAGTAAGGATCCGCCAGTGAACAAGAAGAATTGCTAGAACAAGAAAGTGAAAGAATAATAAGAAGAAGATAAAATCAATATTGCCTGCAACAGAAGCTCTAAAAATAATCGTCTGACACAAAAAACAAAAATCATTATTTACAAAACAATTTTCATATTGAAGAGACTCGATCCTCGACCCAATAAACGATAATGGGACTTCGTCATCAATGTAATTTCGAACTATATTTTATAATAACCATAGTAAAATAGCTAAACTGTCAGACTTTGAGGTAAGTACAGATATATATTTAATTAAATGTCTGCAGTTAGCACATAACTGGTAAAGTCGTATTCTATTAGACGAATTGTGGTCAAGAAATAAACTTTGGAAGTCAAAGCTACAACTGCAACTTTTGCACAAATAGCTGTCAGCGCCGTTAACTTATTGCGGCCACTATCCCATAAATCATATTTGACTGAAGTTTAGATTAAGCTGGTTAACCATTTAAAAAACTTACGATTTTAACAAATCCTAGTAACTTTTTGATTAAGACTTTTAATTAATATTGATTAAGCCAAGACCGGATAATGATTTCGTATTCCATCTTGATCAATTCGCTCCAGATTTTGATATAAATCTTAAGTTATAGGTGATTTTTTTTATAGCCCTTTTTCTATCCGAATTTTCGAATAAAGGCCTCTCCCATTTCTCGCCATTCATCCCTGTTGTGTGCTAGGCGTTTCCACATTGGTCCTGCGACTCTTTTGATATCGTCGCTCCAGCGCATTTGAGGTCTTTCTCTTGGTCTCTTCGCATCGTACGGTCGCCAGTTTCCGACTTCTTTGTTCCATCTACCATCTTCGAGACGTTCGTTGTGTCCAGACCATGTCCATTTTAATTTAGCTGCTTGTTTCGCGGCGTCCTTTATTTTTGTTTCGTTCCGGATTGCTTCGTTCGTTTGCTGATCTATTAGTGAGATACCAAGCATCTGTCGTTCCATGGCTCGCTGAGTTTTTCGGATCTTGTCCATGTTTTTTTTGTGAATGTCCAGGTTTGAACTCCGTAAGTAAGGATCGGAAGGATACAAGAATCGAACACTTTCGTTCGAAGGTTTTGGGGTATCTTTTTGTCTTTCAGTATGTACGAGAGTTTTCCAAATGCGGCCTATCCCATTCTTACTTGTCTGCTTATTTCGGTAGTTTGGTTTTCTTTGTTTACCTTGATATTCTAACCCAGATATATGTATTCTTCTACATGTTCCACTTTTGTTCCTTGGATGGTTATCGTCGGTTGATCATCTTTATTCGACATTAGCTTAGTTTTACTCAGATTCATTTTCAGTCGTTTTTTTTATGGATTCCGTATGAAGCTCATCGATCATCGTCTTCAGTTCTTTCCCGCTGTCGGCTATTAGTACTACAGCATCTGCATATCTTAGATGGTTTAAATACTTTCCGTTTATAGATAGTCCCTTCGTTTCCCAATTTAGTGATTTAAAGATGTCTTCAAGTGTGGCAGTAAATAGTTTTGGAGATATGGTGTCTCCCTGTCTTACTCCTCGGTTGATTTTAATTGGCCTAGTTTTCATTCCGTTATCCATCGTGACTACCATTTCAGCGTGTTGATATATATTATGTATTAATATCCTATATCTAGAATCTATTCTGCTGTTGACCAGTGCTTCCTCAATAGTCCATAATTCTATGCTGTCAAAAACTTTCTTGTAGTCTATAAATGCTAAACAGATTGGTAAATTGTATTCGTTAACTTTTTCTATTAGGACCTTTAGTGTTTGAAGATGGTCACATGTACTGAACCCTTTTCTAAATCCGGCTTGCTCTACTGGTTGATATACATCGAACTTTGTTGTCAATCTATTTGTAATTATTTTTGTGAATGTTTTATAAAGTTGTGATAGTAGTGATATTGGACGATAATTTTTCAGATCTGTATTGTCCCCTTTTTTGTGTATTAATATTGTGTTAGCAGTATTCCATTCCAAGTTATAGGTGATATAAGCTAATTATAATTCGCACATAATCGGTTACATGTTAAAACTTGTAAAAGTATTATAAAATACTATATTTTTCGGGTATTCTGAGAATACCCATACAACAAACTACCTCTAAATGCATTCCCGAAAGTTTTCCAAGACCATCGAAAAATATTTTGAAATAAGACCCGACGTAATCAAATGGATACCCAGTCTAGATATCAATATCAAATATATATTTATATTTTAATACTGTTTTCATGCTTTTAATAGTGTAATTATGCGACAACGCTAATGACCAGATTTTCATTGTATTAATGTAAATGTTCCCTATTTATGTAGTACCCCAATAAAAAACGTTTGTACGTCTAAGATATCTATAGATAGATTTTAAATTGAGTAAACTAAAACTGTTTTTAAGCGAACTACGAAGGTGTGTTAAAATTTGATGGCAATAAACAATCATTTCTTTTGTTATTGAAACCAACTGTAATGTCAATGAAACTTTTCTGGGACCTCTGGTAATCTAAAAACATTTAAACATTTAAATATTTTTTTACTCGTCGATATGCCTATATATTTTTTATAGTTATTCTTTTTATTTACAAGATTTAGGAAACTAACAAAATTAATTGTTAAAAATGTAAATAGTTTTCGATTTTAGAACGTATCTCTATCTGTGTAACTGCTTTTATATTCTTAATATGCGGGGAAAGTGTATGCGCGAAGACGGTCTGAGCGGGGTGAGTTGAGGAGCGGGTCGCTGAAGCAGCGGTCTCCATGTTGCCAGCGGTCGTTTAGCGTTATCACGTGTGTTTAAACCGTTAGGCCGTTTTCCATTTCGATAACTTCACGAATGATTCTGGATTTTAAGGAGCAGATAGAAGCGATGGTTTTTGCTTTTTCGAAATCTATTTTGTGGCCTCTCTGAATATGATGTCGGAATGTTTGACAGACATAGAATGTTAGTAAATACAGTTATGGATTCGTCGGTTTGTCTGTCATATGTATGTATGTGGGCAACTGGAACAAAGTATCTCATATACACCATGATCTTTATTGGGGATTTGGTATTTTACTGATCTGACGAGATTGGACAACTTGGAATAACTAGTGAAGATAGTTTTGATGTTTAGAGGGTTAAGAGTGCTACTGATCTTGTCAGTGACACCTTTAATAAAACGTAAAAGGATTTTGGGTTGATTCGGCCGCAAAGTTTCTTTTTTGGATGGAATGGGGCTTAGATGTTTTTTAATGTTCCTATTGATTTATGTTTTGTAGTAGCCGTCTTATAAGAGTGTTTGCCTTATTGAATTGATTTCGTATGCCCTGTGATTATTGTCCCTGTCTTATGGAACGGTAAACAAAAGTGTTGATTGAATTGAGTTAAGCGGTGTAATGATGTGACTGGGCATTGAGATAACGGTTTGTATGAGTGGGTTTCGGATACACGGAATAGAAAAAACTATGAGGTGGGTTTTTCTGAGACTATTTAAAGTGCTTATTTTGGGACAAGCATAATTGAAAATTTTTAATTTTTTTGCAGACCCTGGATTGCAAAATTATTATGCAGAAACTATGAAATAGTTCCTAACGAAATTTAACACACGTTGCACTCATATAAAGTTTTTATAAGAGAAATATAAAGGCCAAGTGTGTCTAAAATATCGAAAAAATAAAAAAAAAACATGTTTTTTGCGCTTTTTTCTTAATTATCGCTATTTTTTAAATAATAAACATTAAAATTTTAATTTTTAGCTGGTCAAATATTATGTAACATTAAAATAAAAAACTTTTTTTATACTAGCAATTACTCTCGTACTTATCAAACATATGACCACAAAAAATAGACTTCTAAGGAAATAGAATATAGAAAAAATAGATTTCTAAGGAAAATGTGCATTATGGTCTGCTTTTCGATAGATTCCACCTGGATTAGAATGAATCTAGTGTTAATTACATTAGAATCTTATTAATACGTCTATGATATCATATTTTTTGCATTATTTATTAAATATCGATATCCAAATTTGTTCTACCTGTGTGTATATTCATTATATTTTATAGTATAAAAAATGAACAAGTAATAGTTTACTAATATTAAAATTATGAAAATGTTTTGGACGCTAATGTTGTGCCAGCGAGTGAAATGATTAATGCAAGTTCTATACCTACTTGATTACTTTCATAGTGGACAAATTAAATGACAAAAGCCCTAACTATACATAAATGTTTTTAAATATTGATATGACTAGCTACCAAAACTGCAACATTTATTTTTTATATTACTCTTTTTTGGAACATTTTGGCATTATATATTTTTCATAATATAAAGTTCTTGGCAAGAACAGGTTTAACTCTTGAAATGTTTGTGACTCCTATATGCTAGGACTAGACTAATTAAAAATCCTTCGAAAATGAATTTAATTTATTATATCGTTGTGATATAAAAACGTTTTGATTATAACACTGTGGTGTTTTAAATGTTACACACTGTACAAAAATAATTAGAACCTCAATCACCAAAGCAATGGCCAAACAGTTTCATCAACATTACATTAACAAGATGTAAAATTTTTTTTCCTAAAATCACTTTGTTCTAACCTACGGCGCTGTAACACCTGTTATAGACGTTATCCAAGGTTTGAAGAATTGTGTTCTCATATACACTCCAGGCAAGTAGGGCGCTGCGCATTTGATTCCGTGGGAAACTGTGCCGGCTAGTTGGTATCTTCCATCCGGTCGTTGGAGTACTAAAGGTCCACCAGAATCTCCCTAAAACAAAACAAAATTACAATTTCATGGAACAACATTGGAGGATATATCCTTTATTATTGTAGACTAAATACAGCTCTGTGAACAAAAACCTAAAAAATAAGAAAAATTGGCAATCAAAAACATTTTAAAAGATATTTAAAAGAAAAATTAGGAATTATATTATTGTTGTCATATCAGTAGGTTATGATTACGGTCGCGGGGCTCTAGTCACAATGGATGGGGACTCGTTGTCAGTTGTCTCTACTTGTCAGAGGATCATTGTTAAAACATGGGTTTTGAATCTTGTTGATTCTTGCAGACATTTTGTTAAAAAGTATGTTTAAATAAATGTATTGGACACAATGAAATATTATTACTTGGCGCAGTCGAGTGGAAATTAAATGAAAATCATGGAAGCAAGGTTACCAAATCCATTATCGTTTGAAGGCAATATGGCCGAAAGTTTTAAACGATATAAGCAATTTTTGATATATATATATCTGATCAGAAAAAGGGGTAAAAGTGATAAAGAAGGTAGCAATTTTACTCAATTTATTTGGAGAAGAAGGCAATGAGATTTATAATAGTTTGGAAGTAACAGAAGTCAAACAAGGACAGCTAGCAGATGTATTGGAAGCATTTAAGTCTTATGTGACAGCTAGAAAAAATGTTTTTTATGAATAATATTTGTTTTATAAGCGCATTCAAGAAAAAGGAGAGCCTTTTGATCACTTTTTAACACATTTAAAAAATAAAGTAAGAAATTATGAGCTATAGTTGAAGCATTTTCAATGGTAAGAGATAGAATAGTATTAGGCACCAATAGTAAGGTTGCACAACAAAGCATGTTAAAAACAATTAGTTTAGATCTGACTAAAGCTATTGAAATATGTAAAATATATCAAGTATCCCAAGCTCAAATAAAAGAAATTCAGAACAGCTTAAAGAAGGTGAAATATTGAATCAATTGGAACTAAAGTCAAGCAGGGGCATAATTCAGTCCAAACAGTCAGAAGGTTCTTCTAGAGGTGAATTTAACTGCAGAAACTGTGTGAGTGTCCATGCACCAAGGAGGTGACCAACATATAGAAAAAAAAGTATAGAAAGTATGGTAAATGTGGGTATTTTGATAAAGTGTGTTATCACGGTAGGTTAGTAAGAGAGGTACAAGTGGAAGAAAGTGAAAACAATAAAGTAGACGATTTCATGATTTTATCAATCACTGTTAATGAAATTAAGAATAAAAATAATAAAGACTGGATGGAAAATTTAAAAATTAATAACGTTGATATACCTTTTAAAATAGATACAGGGGCACAGGTCAACATTTTACCCAAAGTTTTTGTTGAAAAAGTTTGCAAAATTTATGAATTAAAAGAAACTAAGGTCATATTTGAAACATATGGTGGTTTTAAGATCATTCCTTTGGGTATAAATCCTAAATCTAAATATATTATATATCCTATATCCTAAAACTAAAATGTGATGAATCCGAGCAATTTTATTTATTTTTTTGCATCAACTAGAACAAAATCTGGGCCATCGGTTGTCCAGCCTGTACATAAAGTATACAAAAGTACAGAAAATTAGAGTGAAACCAAAACCTAAATATAAAGAATTTACCAATATACATTTAGCTTTACTTACCTCAGCTTATTCGAGAATGGATAATCATTTTACTAACCTCGCAAGAATCTTTCTGTCCATTTGCATACCCTGCGCATAGGAACGAATCAAGTATAACCTTCGAATGTCCTGCTGTCCTGAACATCTCTTGACATACAGGATTCTCCATAATAGGAACTTGGACTTCTTGGAGCACAGATGGCACTCCACCTCCATATTTGAGACGGCCCCATCCTGTAACTGTAGCCATGCGCCCTACGAAATCTTCGTTGTCTCTGGGAAGACAGATCGGAACTAAAAAAAAAAAACGCAAAAATAAATTCGCACATGTTAAAAATATTTGTATCATATATTATTACAATTCGATTTTTTAGGCGCGTATGCGCCAGTCTGGTAAGGATCTATGGAGTAAGTATCACCGAGACGTAAGCTCATATCTTTTAGAATACGCACACCAGCCTATTCTAGTCTAAGTAGCAGATCCATCTAGTGTTGTCACAGTTGTTGTGGTTTAAGTCAGGAATATTTCGATCTCGTCAATCAATGGATAGCTGAATACAAACATAAAGCTAACAAACATCTCCAAAATGTTTCCCATTGCACTGGTAAAAACATTATAACACAAAGACTGATAAATAGTGCTCTTATGATATATTATTATCAGTATCCTTATAGCCGTTCAATTATGGCGGCTTATGACAATGCCAGAGGTATATATCAATCATTTTTTGAAGCAGATTACTCCTAGTTACTATATTTCTTCTAAAATACTATATAATTATATACTACTATAATACTAAGTCTTTGGGACAAGAGTTATTTTTCCAGTCTTTTCTATTTCTGCATTTTCTTTTCTTCTCTGTTATGTTTATTGTGTTTATGTATTCTTTTATCTGGTTTTATCATCTCTTCCTGGGTCTTCGTCTATTTCTTGGCCCCAATGGGATCCATCTTGCATGTAATATTCATCTTGTAATTATTTTTATCATTTCTGTTAGTGTTATCCTAATTATGTCTCCCACCCATGCTTTTATATGTTTTACCATGGTTTCACCTTCAATTTCTTGTTTTATTTCCTTATTTCTTATTCACTAGTTATTTTTCTTCCAAGGATTGATCTCATTATTTTTCTTTCCAGTATTCTCAAATTGTTTTCGTCTCTTTTGCTAATGTCATCGTTTTCATTGCGTATGTAATTGCCGTTCTGATCAATGTAGTGTATAATCTGATTTTTGTCTGTGGACTAATATTTTTTAGTCTAGAAAGCTGGGTATCTCTTTTGAATCCTCTTCGTTATTCTGTTAACTACTCAATGTTCTATTGCCACTTCTAGGTAGTTACAGTTGGTTACTTTGGTGATTTTTGGTTATTAGGAAAGCTCTTTCCACCTCCCTGTCCATTCTTATATCTCATTTTGTCACCATTAATCACTAGTCCCACTTATTAAACTTATTAGGCTTAATCTATCGCTCTTATTAGGTCTTCTTCTTTTTCTGCTACTAGCCGTAGGTTATCTGCATTTGCAATTACTTAAACTCCATTCAGTATTATATTCTTCTGGTTTAATTTTAATTCTCTTTTCACATATTCCAAAACGAGATTAAAGCGTGTGGAAGACATTGGACTTCCCTGTTTTACCCCACTAATGGTGCCAAATTCTTCCGACGTACTCCCTGAAATTTGATTTTTGCTTTGGTAAAAACATTTCTTAAAATTCTTTTTAAAATTAAAAATTACTTGCTGATCCATAGGCTGCAAGGTAGGAGGGGTATTGGCTGGTAGGTAGAGAATCTTTGTAAACTTGAACTCTTGGAGTAAATAATCCTCGAGATTTGTTGAGTGATAAGAGGCATTATTGAGGACAAGAAGGTGTTGCAGGTTGTTTTGCTGTAGATATTTTTTAACCGAAGGGGTAAACACCAGCTTTATCCACTCCACAAAGAATTTATTCACGACCCACGCCTTTGGATTTGCCTTCCACATAATTGGCAGTTTTTTTAAATCTTATGTGACTTAAAGGCTCTGGGATTTTCTGAATATTACACTAGAAGAGGTTGGTTAGAAGAGAATAGTACACTAAACCTCAGGTGCTTTCACATCCGAACTTGCTGCCTCGCTATGCCTGACGACTAAATAAATGCTGGTCCTTTTTCGCAAATATATATATATATATATATATATATATATATATATATATATATATATATTTAATATATATAATATATAATATAAAAACTTACAACATGAGGTTAAACCATTAAATTATTAAATTCACAAAACATTCTTAACTGATCTAAATTATACTTTTATGTAAGTACCATATTTTAATTTTGAATATAATATGACATTGATTATTATAATGATGTTTGATTTATGTCAGAAAATATGTATATATATATATATATATATATATATATATATATATACATATTCATGTTGTAAAAGATTTCGATGTATTCAAATCTCTGTAATAAAATAAGACCTCATCCCCATTTTCTATATATATTTTATGTTCACAAATCCCTACAAATACCTGAAAGTTTTTGTAGAGAAAGCTTTTAAAACACGATATGGGCGCAATATATAGACTCCCTTTCCTTTTTATACTGTATGTGGAGTAGGAAAATATATTTTACGGACTAACGTTATGAGCTGTGTAGAGGTTAATACAAATCATATTTCAAAGCACGTATGGTGGAAATGGGAAAGCTGTCAAGGTTTAGTTTAAATGACGGTAATGTTCTTTTAGATTTTCTTAAAAGCTGACTATGAAGTTTTTTACACATAGTACACTATTTATTTTATTTGAAAATTAAATATTAAATTTGAATATGTAATACAACATTTTAAAAAACTGTAAAACTGGGATTGCTAATTAGAATATTTTAATAGGATAAGAAATGGGCATAAAATAAACCCACATCCCGATGCAAAGCTTCAATGAAACGGAGTCTAACTTAAGAAAGTTCACAAAATGACATATTTGGAAACTGTGATAAACACTAGATGCAGATATAGAAATAAAACGTAGAATAGCAATGACTAAAACTACTTTTATGAAAATGAAGTCATTTTTTTGCAATAATCATCTCAGTCTAGAGCTAAGACAAAGAATGGTTAAGTGTTATGATAGGTTCGTATTTTTGTATAATGCAGAAGTGTGGACGCTAAAAATATCGATTATAAACAAAATTGAAGCATTGGAAATGTGGGTTCATAGACGAATGCTGAAGGTATCTTGGACAACAAGGAAAACTAATCAAGATGTACTAAGAAGCGTCAACAAAGATAGAGAACTGCTAAAGACTGTTAAACATCGAAAAATCGGATAATTCTGATATGGCACGCGAAGAAGAAGAAGATTTATATAAAACAGTTTCAGTACCACATTTTTTATTGCAAGATTTAAAATATACATCAATTTAATTATATTACTGTTTTTTTTTGTTCTCAAATATTGTCACAACCTTGTAGAACAAAAATGGCCTTGACACGCCAATGAACTTCAACCTAATACACCAGAAACGTACACTAAATACCTCAAGTCATTTATACACCATTGATAGCCACAACTATTGATGCGAATCCGAATCAAACTTGAATTTGTCGAGTGAAAGTAGAGATTGTAGGTCAGAATTTAAAGACTGTAAACTTTTGCGAATCCAGATGATTCAGCTACGATGCCGTGATCGTTATTGGCTATTGAGTTCAACTTTCTATGATTATCTGTTTATCGATTATACATTTATTCGCTTGTTTATGACTAAACAAACAGGAAGTGCAGGTATTTATTTAAAGTAGTCTTGTTTCATGACATCTTAAAAGTTATTGAGTTGTTTGTCACAGCTGTTTGCAGTGCCAGCGAAGATGAATCTTTCTTTTTTACTGCAATAAACTAGAAAATGTATAGGTGTGAATATCGCACTATGTAAACAGAGCAATAGAAATTTACACAAACTGTTTACAATTAACTAACGACAACTAACTAATATGGGACACAGTTTTTGGTGTAAAATATTTACGGAACAATTTTATTGAAATTTGGAGACTCGTTTTGTGTAGACATGACTGTCTGTTTTTCAATGTGTCTCCAGTAGGTTGTAATATGATGCAATCGATCTGAATATTGAAGCTGAACGTATACTTTACGGAGTAGAAGTGTGGACGTTAACAGCAGCAACTATAAAGAAGTTAGCGTCTCTAGAAATGTGGCTGTATCGACGCATACTGAGAATACCTTGGACAGACAGAGTGACCAACACGAGGTATTAAGACAAATGGGTAAAGAGGTGGAATTGTTAACAGCCGTTAAAAGGAGGAAAGCGTTATACCTGGTCCATGTGTTCCGTAATGATAAGTACAGTCTGCTACGGCTTATCGTGGAAGGCAATATTGAAGGTAGAAGAGGTTTGGGCAGAAAGAAGAAATCCTGGCTGAGAAACTTGAGAGAATGGTTTCAAGTAGCAGAAGCTGTGAACATAATACATGCGGCACAAAACAGAGAAACCTATCGTTCGATGGTCACCAACCTTCGGTAGAAGACAGTACATAAAGAAGAAGACAAAACTATATTAAACTTTATTAAAAAAAGGTAATGGTATTCAAGGGCTGGAGATAAACACTCCGAGGCTTGAAAGTTTTGTAGAGGCATTACAAAAAATCCTTATGGTGATCTCCGACAAATGGAGAGTGGTTGAACAGAAAGGAAACCAACGGTAATATACCTAAAAGGGCAAGAAGTAAGCTTGTTAAGTAGGCGAGATGACGTGATGATCATCTTAAAAATATTTAGGAAAACTGCAGAGAAATATGTGTAGGATATGCATTTGTAGAGAACGTGAGGGTATAGAAAGACTTTGCAATGAAATGTAAGTATTATCGGAGAATGCCAAATAACCTCAGTAGGAAAGGTTATGCAGAAGTGTTCTGGTGATGTGACAACTCCAGTTTTATAAAGAGAAAGTTAGAAATATGAAGGTAGATTTTATATAGTTATAGTCCTTTTCCATCATATCGATAGCACATTATGTATGCAAATCCTCAACAAGTCAAAAAACCATAGGCGTCACCCTATACTTGTTTTAAAATAAATAAAAAAAATTAATATTTTAAGATGCCGTCAACAATTCATTATTTTTTAAAATATCTTCTGTAAAATAAGTGTCCACTAATCTTACTATACCTTTTTTTGTGCGTAAAAAACGTCGGTATATATGCCACACGATTATTGTTAATTATACACGGGTGATTAACGAGAGAATTCAATGTTTCACGAAATAAATTAATGTAAACAGTAATTTAAAGGTGATTATTGTTTTCTATACAAGTTAACGCCTGACACAAAAAGAATAAATTCTTTGAACGATTACCTGGAATTACTGATAAGGCTTCACTAATGATAGTTTAGGTAGTTTTTATGCCACATTACAGCTTATGCTAATAATATAAATTAGAAATTGTTTGCATCTTCCATTTAGTTTGTAGATGTACATTGTTCATGTCTTACCTACCTACGTTTTTCGTGTCGATATTTTGTTATTTGCATTTAAAAATGACGTCGACAACAGGTTTTATTCCGGTTAAGTGTAGTTTTAAAGGTGTCTCTAGTCTAAGAAAGAAAAATATAATATTAAATGTACACGATGCACTTGTACATCAACGCCCTTTAAGTAATGTTCGTGAAATCGTTAACATGTGTTTAAATATGACAGGGGTTGGAGAAGCAACAATTTATAGATTCCTAAAAGAAAGAAAAGGAGGAACTGTTTTATCTCCCAAGAAGAGTGGAGGGAGTAAACCCTTGGAAACTGAAGAAATACATAAAAACATAATAAGACTCGTTCACTCATTTTTTTTAACAAAGAATTTCCAACATTGGACAAAATCCAATATTAATTAGAGAAAACGAAGAGTTACCAATCATAAGCAACAATAAATTATGGGGACTATTGAGAGAGATGGGATTTCGTTGGCAAAATAATAGAAGAAAATCCGTTTTAATAGTTGAAAATCCGAAAAGATTAAATTGTATGTTGGAGACGAGATTATCTAAGAACTATTAAAAAGTACCGAGAAGAAGGGAAAACAATTTTTTATTTGGACGAGACTTGGCTAAACGAAGGTCGTACTGTACCATATCTATGGGTTGATACAAATGTGAAAACTTCCCGTTAGGCATTCATCGAAGGTGTATCTACTAGAATAAACAATATTTCCGTTGGAAAAGGACGCAGACTCATAATAACCCATATTGGAAACGAATACGGTTTTGTCAATGGTGAAATATTAAGTTTTGCCTCAAAATCAACCAAAGATTACCACGAGGAAATGACTGCTGACGTTTTTGAAGAATATTTTGAGCAAATGTTGGGTTTATTTCCAAAAAATTCTGTTATATTCATGGATAATGCTAGTTACCATTCAACATTGGCAGAAAAATTGCCAACAACGGCATGGAAAAAAGGAGAGATAATCGAATGGTTGGATAAACACGCAATTGAGTACAAGCAGAATTCGACAAAAAAGGAATTATTACCTATTGTAAGGTAACATAAAGCAGCTTATAAAAAATTTATAATTGATGAAATGGCATTAAACCGTGATGTAATTATTTTACATTTACCCCCATACCACTGTGATCTGAATCCGATAGAAAATATATGGTCTCAAGTAAAGGGTGAAAATTATTAGAACATTCCTTATCAAAAGTAACTCCAGAAAATTGGAAAAATGCTGTTAGTCATGCTCACAAGGAAGAAAATAAAATGTGGACTTTGGATAATATGACTGATGCAATGCTGGAACCGGTAATAATTAACATTGGAGTTGAAAATTTCTTAGATTCTGAAGAAAGCAGTTAATCTGAAATGGAATTTGATTAAAATAATATTTATTTTTTTACAAATCGGCCCCTGTTACGGCCACAAATTATTTTATATATAACCAATAAAATAAACATCTTACATTTCTTGAAAATGCATTAGTACCTGTTAATCTCCATCACTCCGACACTGGCAACTTTATTTAGGGATTAGTAACCCTCAAAACTATTGTATTCTATTCTGCTTCAACCTTAATACCTGGTGGTCATACTCAATTTAAAATTGTTTTCCTATATACTTCTGTAAACTTGTTGACAAATATCTATTTTTCATTCAGTCACCCGTATCAACAGTTTAGGGATTTGCATACATAATGTACTATCAATATGATGGAAATGGCCTATACAACATAATTAAACCAGATCACATTATATTAAAAATGAATACTCCTTTTTTTTGCAAACAGTTTTTAAAAAGTGAAAAAAAAATCGTTTTTATATTTTGGTCAACACCTCCCAAACAATAAAACATTTTTGAATTGAATTGAAATATTAGTAACGATTAAATTAGTTTAATATTATTGTCTTATTGTTTTTTCTTAAATGCGATTGCATTTGATTATAAAAAGCTTAGAATCTTGGTCGGATATAGAAAATAATTATATTATTTTACTTACGTATGTGCTGATCAAATTGCACCGGTTGTTCGAGTTCCAGTAAAGCCAAGTCATTCTCAAACGTCTGTGCATCATATTGTCTGTGAACTATTACCCTCTTGACATTTCTGCTAATGGGCCTCTTCTTCTCCAAATCCCCAGATATATCAAATTCTCCGAAAACGGCTACGAGCGATGCCAAGAATCCTGGCTGGCAATGGGCAGCAGTCATGACATACTTGTGACTAATTAGTACACCTCCGCACTTATTTTTGGTAAACAGTCCCAACCAGGTGGATTCTCTAACCAACACTTGCCAAGGAAATTCTCCGAACTGCGCTCCTTTTCCTCCGACGATTTTGGCTGCCCGGACTAATGGGCGGATACCACATTCTGAAAAGTGGAAGTTCGATAAAAATCTGGTTCAATATTAAGAAAACAACATTCTGGTTGTACCGTTATAGGTCTGTTAAACAGATAAAAAATATAAAGGATACTTACACACCCTTCTTTTTTTATAACAAACTTACAACTTGTATTAAAAATAGCACTCAATGCCGTTCTATCCATGGACGTATAAACACAGATGGACTCGAGTTATTTACATAAAATTGTGTAATCAAAATTATTTGAATAGGTTACATTCTCAGCACCTTCATCTGTTGTCACGTTTTGTTTTAAAATTTCTTATTCGCGAGTCGCTGAAAATATTACTCCGTATTTTTTATACTCTACAGGTGCTATCAAACCAAAATAATAATTTATTGGTTAGATTAATATATTTAATTGTAATCAAAATATTAAGTGTGCACATAGTGTGCATTATCATTTAATAATAGCGTATAATAGATATAAATCAATTATTTTATATGTAGAAGCACTAAAAACTATTTATAAATGGCAACGGTTGTTTACATTTCTCTGTCTTATGGATCTACGTCAAACTTCAAATGCGGTTCCATGTTTGTTTACTTTTTACAGTAGACGAGGAAAAGTTGTTTTTCGATATTTTGGTTGTATTTTGAGTGATATTTGTGAAAAGTGAAATAAAATAAACGAAATATTTATATCCCGATCTCTCATTTTATTTGTAAGTACATACAATTTACATTATTTAAGATGAGGAAATGAGGAAGCGTGTTTGTTTACATTGTAATAGGCGTACCATTGGGTTTATTTATGTTCATTAATGTATTGAATAAGATATGAGTTCATGAAATTAGTAGACCTTTATAAATTGTAAGTAGACATCATCTGATTAAAAAAGATCTGTTTAGTACCTTTTTAATTTAATATTTCTCAAGGATACAAATAAATTAGTGAAATGAATAAAACTCATTTATTTTTCTATGTAGGTTTCCAAATAATATTGACGATCGAACTATTTGGGTAGCAAATTTAGGAGAAAACGTAATTAATTGTATTAATTTTAAAGCAAATAAAATTGTATTTTAATTTTTCTCTAAAGACGTGATTTGTTAATAGTTAAACTCTCGTTTTTTAAAATTCTTTGAATGTGTTTTTATACATTATTACTACTTCCAATTTTTAAAATCTGAATAATTACCCGCGAGTAAAAATTCAAGCACGCTTATGCTCATTGCGGAAGCATCACATTCTATCGAAGCTCCAAAACATTGTGTGGTAAAGGTATCTTATTGCTGTGTCCATCTATGTTTATACGTCCATGGTTCTATCGTTGTAGGGTTGCTAAACAGACAAACAATGTCTAATAATTTTATTACATTCTTTTCTAACAAAACACTAAATTTTTTTTGTAAAACGTATCATTTGATTCGTAAACTCTGCAAATCATTGGATTCTGTAATTTACCTTTGGTATCTTTAAATGCACAAAAAATTACCAAGGGATGCAAACCGCTTCATTCATATTTGATTTAGGATTTAGGATGAAATAAGTACTTTCTATTTCAGTTTACTCTTTATAAAACTTTCTATTCGGAACTAACGACTGTTCTGAAAAAATTTTACAAAAACGAAAAAAATTGTTATAGGAGACTTAAATGCTAAAGTGTTAAAGGGTAGATGTGGAGACACCGTAGGACCCTTTGTATTGGGGGAACGAAACAAACGCAGATATCGCCTGATCACCTTCGCTGTGGACGAACAACTGGTAATCACAACACTTTCTTTAAACTACCAGCTAGGAGATTATATACGTGGAGATCACCACAAGACACCCCAGATCACATCATCAGAAACCAAATTGATTACATTATAGCGAATAAAAGATTCAGAAACTCAATAACATCAGCCAAAATATATCCTGGTGCTGATATCTGGTCGGACTATAAGCCACTGGTAGTTAACATCAGACTAAAGCTGACGAAGATAAAGAGTGCAAAAGCAAGAAAATACGATTTAGGACAATTAAAAAATAAAGACACCAGGCACCAGATACAAATCTATATAGAAGAAGAATTTAAAAATACAGACAAAGCTAATGAACCTGATAACGAAATGGCAAAACTACAACAAATTAACCGGACAATCCTAGATAAATATGTTCGCCCAACCACGGTTAAAAAGAAAGAGTGGATTACTGATAAAATCCTAAATATGATGGAGAATAAAAGAAAAGCTAAAAACAGAGACATGTGGGAGTATAAAGGAATTGACAAAGAAACAAGAACAACTATAGAGAAACCAAAAACAAATGGTTGGAAGATCAATGCAGAGAAATATAATCATTGGAAAGTAGACACGACTCGTTAAATCTTCACAAGAAAGTAAAAGAGGCAGCAGGAATGTACAAACCCAATAGATCAGAACTTTTGACTGATGATCAGGGCTAACCGGTAATAGAAATTGAACAAACAAAGAATATATGGAAAAGATACGTTGAGAAGACATTCGATGACGATAGAGATAACAACCAAATAATTATGGAATACGACACAGGACCACCAATCACTCAAGACGAAGTTAAAGCCGCAATTAAAGCAACCAAAGCAGGTAAAGCACCAGGGCCCGACAACTTTCATTCAGAATTTCTAAAAATCATGGGAGACGAAGGAGTAAAATGGCTTACGACAACGTTCAATAAAATCTATGACTCGGGAAAAATCCCAGAGAGCTGGTTCATCATCCAGCCTCAAGAGTCCACTGCTGAACATAGGCCTCTTCCTCATGTTTCCAACCCCGTCTATCTTGCGCCGCTCTTATCCAGTTTTTATTGAGACTTCTTAAATCGTCAGTCCATCTTGTAGGTGGTCGACCGACGCTTCTCTTGTCTTCCCTTGGCCTCCATTCCAATAACCTCTTTGTCCATCGCCATCTGTCATTCTGGCTATGTGTCCTGCCCATCTCCATTTTAGTCTGGCTATTTTCTCCATGATGTCAGTCATTCCGGTTATTCTCCTGATGTCTTCGTTTGTTATTCTGTCTCGGAGAGTTATTCCTAACATGGACCGCTCCATTATTCTCTGCTTGACTCTCAGTTTAGTAGCTGCTGCTTTTGTTAAGGTAAGTTTTTCTGCTCCGTACGACAAGACTGGGAGGACGCACTGATCAAATACCTTTCTCTTTAGGCATGTGGGCAGCTAACTACTTTTAAAAGTTTCTCTCAGTTTTCCAAATGCTGCCCACCCAAGGCCTACTCTTCTCTTCAGTTCATGAGTCTGGTTATCTCTGCCAATCATAATTTCATGTCCCAGGTATGTCCCAGATAGATATAAGTACCTGGGACATAAAGAGAGCTGGTTAAAATCTACATTTATTGCTATACCTAAAAAAGCTAATGCAAAAAAATGCGAAGATCATCGTATTATCAGTCTAATAAGCCACATGCTTAAGACCTTCTTGGTCTTAAGCATGGAAGAAGAAGCTCCTGGAAATACTAAAGGTAACTGATCTGGGTAACAAAGACCTTCAAGTAATCAAGAACATATACTACAACCAATCACCAACCATTCGGGTGAAAGACCAACTAACAGAGGAAGTTGCAATAAAGAGAGGAGTATGACAGGGCTGCATACTCTCTCGCCTATTATTTAACGTCTATTCGGAATACGTCATGAGCCAGGCCTTAGAGCATATAAAGAGGGTATTCTCATAAATGGTGAGCGCCTGAATAACATCAGATATGCAGACGATACCATCCTCTTTGCAGACAGTTTAGAAGGTTTAAAGACACTAGTAACGCAATTGTGGAGAATCAGTCAAGAATACTTGATTTTAACACCAAGAAAACAAAGTACATGGTTATCAGTAAGAAGCATATTCCACCTTGTCAATTACTAGTAGATCAGCAACAAATACTCTGTGTCCCACTACTATTTAGGAACCACCATAAACGACCAATGGGACCACTCAGTTGAGATAAAACAAATAATTGAAAAAGCCAGGTCAGCGTTTGTCAGCATGAGCAAGATTTAAGGACCACGACCTACCCTTAAAAACGAAATCCGTTTATTGAGATGCTACGTGCTTACAGTGCTGCTCTATGGGGTTGAATCGTGGACACTAACCGAGGCATCCATGGGAAAACTCGAGGCGTTTGAGATGTGGTGGTATATATGGATACTGAGGATCTCCTGAGGGACCGGATAACAAACATTGAGATTCTACGTCGGATAGATAAAACATGTGAAATTATATCCAAAGTGAAACAGCGCAAGCTAGAATATCTTGGACATATAATGCGAAACGATCATAGATACAACCTGCTGCAACTTATATTACAGGGAAATGTCTACAGAAAGAGAGGATTAGGAAGAAGAAGAATATCTTGGCTACAGAACTTGCGAAAATGGTTTTCCTTGACCACTTCAGTACTATTTTGAGCTGCGATCAATAAACATCCGTAATGGATAGGCACTACAAGAAGAAGACTCTTTATTAGTAAAATAAACTAGGTCACCAAGGATTTTTGCTTAGATGAAGACATATGCTGTGGAATGCAATTTTTAGATTTCCTTTTTTAGATGTATTTCCTACATCCTGACTACAATTAATATTTTTGTACAATAATTGCTGCATATAACCATGATGCTTTCTATGAAGAGCAATATACATCAATATCTTCCAATCACCTGACGGTATTTATAATTTCCATAAAATTTCTAGTCTTTTTAATTTCTATAAATAACAAAATCTAGAACAAATACAACAGTTTAACATTCTGATAAAAAATATTTTTAAAAACTGTTAATGTTAAAATTTCTGATTCTGCGTAATACAATTTTACTTTGTTAAAATTTAAAACGATAATTTAATTTAAAATCTTAATATAATAAAAAATGTAAATCATGTAAATTTAAACAAATTTTTGAATAATAATCTGTATGTTGTCGAGCAACATTAATTACAGCTTGGCACCCTCTTGACATACTTACAATAATTGAATTATTAATTTCCTTGTGAGATAATAAATTCTAAGTTATACAAGACGGATGAGGACTTTGAAGAAGAGTATGAGTATTATGCAAATAAGGAGCGGTCTGTCTTTGAAACATATTTCCTATATACTGGATGGTATTAACATTTGTAGATTGTTGTTGCTATAAATCAGTTTCTATAATATATAGTAGCAGTGGAAAATTGAAGAAAAGAGTTTCTAACATATATTAATTAATACTGATTTAAATTGGCTTGGGCAAAAATTTAAACATTTGATAGTAAAAAATGTCCCATTGTGGACTGTTACTTATCTTCTTCTTGTAGTGCCTATCCGTTTCGGATGTTGGCGACCATCATGGCAATCTGCACTTTGCACACTGCTGCTCTAAAAAGATTTGTGGTTGTTGTGTTGAACCACGTTCGTAGATTTTTCAGCCAGGAAATCCTTCGCCTTCCTTGTCCCCGTTTTCCTTCTACTTTTCCCTGCAAGATTAGTTGCAGCAGTCCATATCTTTCGCTGTTCCTCATGATGTGACCGAGGTATTCGATTTTGGCTGTTTTTATTGTGGTTAACAGCTCTTTTTCTTTTTTCATTCTCAACAGAACACCCTCATTAGTAACGTGGTCGGTATACGATATTTTATGATGCGACGATAAAGCCACATTTCAAAAGCCTTAATTTTTTTGCAGGTGGCGTCTGTGAGAGTCCATGACTCAACTCCGTACAACAGTATAGGAAAGACGTAACATCGTAGTAACCTGATTTTTATGGGCATTGATAAATCATGACATTTGAATAACTTTGCCATTTTTTGAAATGCAGATCTTCCTTTCTCTATTCTGCATTTGATTTTTATGGAATGGTCCCAATTTTTATTGACGTTCGTACCAAGGTAGGTGTATATTTTTACTGTTTCTATTTGTTGAGCGTTTACACTGATTTGTCCAAATTGCTGTTCCTTCTTAGAGATCATCATGCATTTTGTTTTCTTAGTGTTTAGTGAAAGTCCGTATCTCTGACTGACCTCTGTGATTCTGTTCACTAACTCCTGGAGGGTTTCAGAACTGTCAGCGACTACTACCGTGTCGTCCGCGTATCTAATGTTATTGATAGATTCTCCGATGATTCGAATTCCGGATTCAACATCACCCACTGCTTCTTGAAAGATTTCCTCAGAGTATATGTTAAATAGCAGTGGTGATAGTAAACATCCCTGACGGACGACACGTTTGATTTTGATATCGTTGGATTCTTCTGCCTCTGTCCGGATAGATGATGTTTGATTCCAGTACAGATTGCTGACAATTCTTAAATCACAGGTGTTTATTCCAATATTGGTTAATATCTCCATCAGCTTATCGTGCTTTACTGTATCTAACGCTTTATGGTAGTCAACGAAATACGCATAAATGTTGCAGAATATATCTACCTAGACCAAATCCTGAGACTTGACAAAGAGAACCAAAGTGCGGAAATTACTAGAAGAGCAAGACTAGCATGAGCAGGATTTGGAGAGCTTAGTTGGATACTTAAAAACCACAAAACACCCCATTACTTGAGGAGCAAAGTATTCAACCAATGCATCCTTCCTAGCATGACATATGGATGTCAAACCTGGACCCTAACCAAGGCAAACATGAATAAACTAGCCATAACAGAAAGAACAATGGAAAGAGCAATGTTAGGTATACGACTGTCAGATAAAAAGAGGAACGACTGGGTAAGATCTAAAACAAAAGTCGAGGACATAACAACAAAAATTGCCAAACTTAAATGGAACTTCGCAGACCACACTGCTAGACAGAAAGACCAACATTGGAATACTACAATACAACATTGGAGACCTTACGAAAGTAAACGACCAAGAGGAAGACCACAGATGAGATGGGTTGATGACATTATAAGAATAGCCGGAGCAAATAGCAAATATGTTGCTCAGGATAGAGACCGATGGAAGGATTTGGAAGAGGCCTATGTCCAAACATGGACGACAGAAGGCTAAGAAGACGAAGAATATTGTTCAAATACTCCAAATCGTTTAAAAAAACTATTATGAAGATGATAACCAATTAGTACTCTACAAAGAAAGGCTTAAGTTCAGATCATCAGTGCCCTTTACGAAGAGATCGAATTTTCTAATGCTCTTAATTGGGAAACTGATAAAAAACCCTAAACTGGATAAGAAGAAGAACCGATCTACTTGGAACATCAAGAGGTAGACTTGGTTAATCCCGAACTCTCCTCCGCACTCTCACTAACTAATATACGGCAAACCTCTAGGCATTGCTTAACAAACGCCAACCATTATGACTACCTAAAGTTAAGTCCTGAGAAATGTCAGAAAAAAAAAGATTTGATCATCCATTAGCATAAATCTCCAAATTGGCTAATATCCCCACAATCTCAAACCAAATTAAGTCTCTTGGCAAAATATCCAAAAAAGATCAAACATCTGAGCAAAGGAACTTCTAAGAATGCTCTTAAACCAACCTTAAAGCTTCTAAAATTAAAAAAACAATTAACTTCTAAGTAGTACTTTGACATTCTAGAAGATACACCCATCAAATACCGCAGTCAATAAAGTTTCCAATTGTATCAGTTGAATATAAAACTTCTTTTTCAAAGGAGTGTAGCTTATAAATGGAGATACTTCACACAATTCCTTCTCAAACATTCTTTGAATCTCAATCCATGCAACCCTCACCCACCTGTAACAACCTTTTTTCGAACAACGACCTTTAAATTTACGTCAAGATAAAAAATGTAATTTATGTACTGCACAAATGTAATAAAATAAAAAATAATAGTAAATAAGTACTCACGTGTTCTGTAATCTTCACTATCAATGACTACGTTGTCCGTAGAATGGTCAATAAACGTTGGAGTGGTTGTTAAAGGCTTCTTGGTTGGTTTTGTTTTCTTAATAGTGGTGATTGGCTTTTTAGTTGTAACTATCGGTGTAGTTTTTCTATTACCAGGCCTCTTTGTAGTAGTTCCTGGTCTCGACGAAGTTGTGAGTCTTGTATTTACAGGTCTTAAAGTGGTAGCTGCTGGTCTTAGCGTCGTAATTACTGGTTTTTTAGTGACATTTCCTTGCTTCAAAGGTTTTTTTGTGGTACTTTTTGTAGTAGTGCCTACTGATAAGATCGTGGAATTTCGTCGGTTATAAACAACATCTTTTAGTCCGTGAAAAGGTTCTTGTAAGCCTTCTATTATTTTATTTACAAATGATTCTACATTGGCATTTAGTGCTTCATCCTCTATAAATACCGGTGTAGTGATATCATTTTCGCTCAATGGGTGAATGTTGGACATATTTAGGTTGGGGTTTCTTACAGGTGGGAAATTAATATTATCATCATCTGGCGCTGAAGGTATAGTTCCCACTTCAATAGTATCTGAATAGTCTTGCGGCCTAAAGGACGAACTAGGTTTTGGAGTAATTAAAATGGTTGGAGAGGGTCTTTCGCTAGAACCGAAGGAATTAAGCAGGGGTCTTTCAGTTGTACTATAAATATTTTGCGTGACATGCTGATTAATAGTGACGTGGTGAACTGGTTTACCAGTAGGTGGTTTTCGTTGTGGTAATGCAGTAGGTCGTTGTAAAGTAACAGGGTACTGTTGCTGCTGGTATGTACTTGGTTTAGTAAATTCTGAGCTAATTTCATCGGTTACTGGTCCCAAAACTATTATGGTAGGAGCTGGTGTTGAGAATGTACTTGAAACTGGTCTTGAGCTAACGCTAAATGTTGGACCAACGATGTGTGAGGTCATAGTTGATTGTGGAGGTCGTCTTGGTGGAGTAGAGCTGTACACATATGACGTAGAAGGGGGTTTAATGGATGTAACGAATGCAGTAGGAGAATAGGCATATGTTGTTTTGGTAGAAGTAAAGAAAGAAGAGTTAGGGATATTGGTAGATTTTGTAGTGGATTTCTTTTTGGTAGGTTGTGTACGTCTTGGTGGGAGGGTCGTACTGAAAACATAAGAAGTAGAAGGTGGTTTCCTAGAAGTTATTACAACTTCGCTTGGTGGAATTCGCGTAGCCAGAGTTGGCCTTCGTGTAGTATTACCATTTATAACTTGTAATATATTTACAATAGAATCATATTCTTGTGTTTTGTTGGGTTTTGGAGCATTGTGATTGATAGTAGGAATTCTAACGTAATTATTATCATTAGGCTTGATTGGTTTTGGTCTAAAGATTGGCTTGCTAAAACCAGAAATAGTGGTGTACTCTAAAGGTGCATTCGATATCGATATAGCTATGATAGGAGTATTTTGATAGTCGTCATTTTTAAGAGTTGTTCTTTTTTCGTCGATGGGTTGACTGGTAGGCCTAAAGTAGTCAGGGTCAATTTCGTTCTCTAGGTGATTAACTAGCAAAGTATCTGGGGCTTCTGGATGTGTCACACCAGCAGTAGAAAAGTGCTGATTACTACTGACTTGAACCACTTCATTATCCATAGCAGTGGGAAGCACTCCAGGGCGGAGTAAAGATTCGGCTATTTGTGAAACTCCAAGTGAAGTTATATCTAAAGGGGTCGTAATGGGTCTTCTAGTGGAAATACCATTTTCCACTATATATGGAGAAACACCTTCTTCTTCCACAAATTCCCCCACAGAAACTCCCGGCGGAAGTTGACAGCAGGCTCCAAAGAGAAAACCGTCCATACACGCACCAACTACTAGGCCATTCTTTTGTCTACATTCATGGTTAAACATACATATATTTGGACCGCCCAAAGGTTCTGCTGGTGGACGGCTCGGCTTGCAATATCTAGGTGTGATTCGGTAACCTCCAAATAACTTTCTTGCACCTGAAACAAGAAATAATATTTATATTTATTAAAATCCAGTAGGAAGTGTAAATAAAAAGTTACTTCAATCAAATGTTTACACGATATATTTGAATATAGAAAATAAATTCTATAATCCATATTTTAAGAAAAATTATTTCGTAAATATACTATGTGAAAACCACTTATAGAATAAAATTGTTTGTCCAATTCCTGTAATTTTTCCAAAACAAAAATAATAAAATATCTCTGATTCCTTAAAAAAAAAGGACTCAACGACTGAATTTTTCATGCAATTTGCATAAGGAGTTAAAATAGCGGATACTACTGTTGAATTACATTCAACAACTATTTAATGATGAAAGAGAAGAACTGTCATTAGAAATCACCGAGGATACTGGACCACCAATATTAAGAGAAGAAGTCATCTATGCCATCAAAAACACAAAAGAGAATAAAGCTACTGGACCAGATGAGGTGCCCATCGAATTATTAAAACTCATCGATGAAGATGTTATTGATGTAATGGTTGAACTCTTTAATCTAATATATCAGACTGCCACAATCCCCAGACAATGGCTGCAATCAACCTTTGTAGCAATTCCCAAAAAACCAAGTTCAACAACTTGCTTAGACCACAGAACCATATAGCTTTAATGAGTCACACACTTTAATGAGTCAACATTTTTGAAAATAATTCACAGCAGAATTGTTAAAACTCTTGAATATGAGATTAGTGACACACAATTTGGCTTTAGAAATGGTATGAGTACAAGAGATGCTTTGTTCGGCTTGAATGTGCTGGCTCAGAGATGCATGGACATGAATCAGGATATGTACTTATGTTTTGTAGACTTTGAAAAGGCATTTGATAAAGTTCAACATAAAAAGCTTGTAGATATATTAAAAAGCAAAAATATTGACAGTCGTGATCTGAAAATTATATCTACTTTATATTGGAATCAAACTGCCAAGGTAAGAGTTGACAGCCAGTACACCGAAAATATCAAAATACAGAGAGGAGTCCGCCAGGGTTGCGTGCTGTCCCCACTACTTTTCAATGTCTACAGTGAAGCGGTATTTCAAGAAGCGCTCTCAGACTCAATAGAAGGTATATCTATCAATGGAGAAGTTTTGAATAACTTAAGTTTTGCAGACGATACAGTAATAATTACGGATAACAACAATGATTTACATAACTTAATGCAACGCCTTAATGAACGATGTCATGAGTACGGACTGAAGATAAATTAAAAAAAAACTAAATGCACGATCATGACTAAATCTGCACATGCAAATATTTAATTGACTATTGAAGATACTGCAATTGAGAATGTTAATAACTAAATATTTAGGAACATGGATAACATCAGATGTAGACCAAACCAAAGAAATTAAGACACGTATTGAAATAGCACGTACATCATTTATTAAACTTAAAAAGTTTCTTTGTTGTCGGGATATAAGGTTAGAACTACGCCTGAGAATGCTTCGATGTTACGTGTTCTCTACTCTTCTTTATGGTCTGGAAGCTTGGACACTAAAACAAGTTCATCTGAATAAGCTGGCCGCCTTTGAATTTTGGTGTTACAGAAGAATCCTACGAATATCACGGATTCAAAGAATGTCAAACATGGAAGTAACTAGAAGGATAGGAAATGAGGCGGAAATAATATTAACTATTAAAAGACGAAAACTCGAGTACTTGGGACATGTGATGAGAAGGCAAAAATACGCATTATTACAACTTATTATGCAGGGCAAAATCCGAGGAAAGCGAAATGTGGGAAGACGAAGAATATCCTGGCTTAAGAACTTAAGGGAATGGTTTGAATGCAGTAGTGCAGAACTTTTTGGAGCGGCAGTCAACAGAGTCCGCATAGCCATGATGATTTCCAACCTTCGATAGAAGATGGAACTTAAAGAAGAAGAAGTTTTAAATGGTTAAGTATTTATTTGAAGTAATATTATTCTATTCGAGACTGGTACGAAATTGGTCATATATTTACTCAGTTCTGATGTTACTAATATATCTTTACTATTTTTATGATGCGGGTCTTCTGTGCTGTTACTGGAATAACATAATACACTTCGGTCCTTTTTACATGATCCTGACTCTGGCCATCTTATTTCATTGATTCTCAGTAGGTCTATTTTCATTCTTTTCATTTCTTGAATTGCGTTGTCAAGTTTCCCAGCTGCAAATAGACTTCTAACATTCCATGTGCCCATTCTAAAATTAGACTTCTTTATTTTTAGGGTATTTCTTCACGAGGTTTTCGCATGTTTAGGGCATGAGAGGTCTCGTGGTCTAAATATGTTTCTCCTCTCCTGCCAAATCTGCGCCTTCGTTTTCCATGATTAGTAAAGGTTTACAATTTCAGTGTCAATTCTATGGTGATTTTTCTGTGAGTGATCTATGAGCCGTTAATGCAGTGGTTCCCCTTTGTCTTCTGCATTCTTATGCCATTGGCCATTATTTGTTGATTCATCTGCCTTCGGGGCCAATTTTCAGCCCCAGGATAAAAGAATGCCCTACCACTCACCAACTTATCCGCTCTAAACCGTTGGTCAGTAACTGGGAGATTGCTTATACCGGCAATAAATCTGGTGATCTACTAAAATAAATTTTGAAATACTGTAGCGTATTTCATTTACAGGTATCAATGTTTGTACTTCCTGCAGGTGGTAAGGATGGAGATTATTCTTTTTAAGTCTTTGCCAGACAGGCAAGTATTGGCAGAGCATGTCTAATTCGTTAGATATCCACTTGTGTATTATTCCCAATTAAATTAAGAATATTATTTTCCATATTTTGATGAAGTAAGACTCATTAAGTATGTGGTTTTTGAGATCGCCCAAGTATGTTACTTTTCTATAAAAACACCCTGTATTACTGGTTGACTACGTAAATCCGCCTGTTGGGGCCGATTACTCAGCCCCAGGAGAAAAGAATGCGCTACCACTCACCAACTCATCCACCCTAAACCGTTGGTCAGTAAGTGGGGGATTACTTATACCGGCAATAAATCTGGTGATCTACTAAAATCAATTTTGAAATACTGTAGAGTATTTCATTTACAGGTATCAATGTTTGTACTTCCTGCATATGGTAAGGATGCAGATTATTACTTTTTAAGTCTTCGCCAAACAGGCAAGTATTTGCAGAGCATGTCTAATTCGTTTGATATTCACTTGTGTATTATTCTCAATTAAATTAAGAATATTATTTTCTATATTTTGATGAAGTAAGACTCATCAAGTATGTGGTTTTTGAGATCGCTCAAGTATGTTACTTTTCTATAAAAACACCCTGTATTACTGGTTGACTACGTAAATCCGCCTTTTGGGGCCGATTACTCAGCCCCAGGAGAAAAGAATGCCCTACCACTCACCAACTCATCCACCCTAAGCCGTTGGTCAGTGAGTGGGGGATTGCTTATACCGGCAATAAATCTGGTGATCCACTAAAATCAATTCTGAAATACTGGAGAGTATTTCATCTGCAGGTATCAATGTTTGTACTTCCTGCATATGGTAGGGATGGAGATTATTCTTTTTAAGTCTTTGCCAGACAGATGAGGTATTCGCAGAGTATGGCTAATTCGTCGGGTACTTACTTTTGGATTATTTTTAATTAAATTAAGAATATCATTTTTAATTTTTTGATGAAATAAGACCCATCAGGAACGTGGTTTTTAAGATCACCCAAGTTTGCACAGTTAACTATGTTACTTTTCCATAAAAACACCCTGTATTACTGGTTGACTATCTAAACAGAACACCCTGTACTTGCACATTGTAACAACGCCAACGTCTGTATCGATACGATTAAACCTTTCAGCAAACATGTATTCATATAAAATTGTGTATGGCTTCTGACATTCCATTATGCACTCCACTTTATCTTTTGTTAACCATTAATCTATATGTTCATTTTAGTAGATAGATGAGCATCTCTATTATACTATCTCATATTATGGTTATGAATGACTTGCTAAACAACAATAATTACGCAACGCGCTGTGAACGGAAAAATTGCAAGGGTATTTTTGTCAAGCAAATAGAGCAAAGAAGATGATCCTTTTACATAAATTACTGTAAAGGTTTATGAAGAGTAAGTAATACGAAAATGGCGATCTGTTTTCGTTAATAAGTAAGATGGTGTTGTTATTTTTTAAAGCATTTTGATACTTACTATCTTTATTAAATTAATACATTAAAAATATTAATTTATTGAAAGTCATATAAGTACCTCCAACGCAAGGTCCATGTAAAAAATTTGATACATTAACGAAACAAAGGCGTTGTGTCTTATTTTTAAGAGGTGTCATACTTTTGCTAAATCAATATTTATTAATATTTAAAATTAATACTCCAACAAATTGTATTTATAATGATTTAACTTAAAATTGAACTGAAATTTAAACAAATTCCAAATATCTCTATGGAGCAATGGTTTGAATTGTTGGAATTCGTTTTTGGAATAAAAGTTGACGTGTTGTAGCATTTGTTCAAAATGAAGGGTACAGGGAAAAAGGCAACTAAATCAAAAAACAATATTTTTCCGCAAATCGCCAGGAAATTTTGACATTCCCGTCAAAATTTCTTGAAAAAGTCAGGACTTCCTTACTGTAAGGAAAGTGTCATTTTCTTACTGTAAGGAAATGATATTTCCGTACAGTTGTTAGTGTTCTACATAAATGATAGAAAACACATTGCTTATAAGGAATTAATTTATATTTTGAAAACATCAAGTCATCGCTGAATACATTTTTAAGATCAATTTGTTATATTTACAGTAATTTGACAGTTAGTACAATTATTGAACATTGGAGGAACACTCTTAGAACTATGAGAAACATTTTGGACATGCAGGGTGGAAGTGTCATTTTGTTGAATATTTTGTACTGTGAAAATTTTATTTGCCACCTCAACCTTATTGTTAAGCGATTCTTCGATATATCCTTCAGCAACGTTTGATTACTTCCATCCGCCATGCCTCTTTAAACTAGTTATGTCGGCACTAGAGTCAACCAATATTGTTGCAGAAGACCGACGAAAGCAGTGACCAGTATATTCTGTAGGATTTACCAAGTTTAAATAAGTAGCAATTATTTTGGGCATTTTTCTAAATTGATGAATTCCTACCACTTGTCTACAACCCTTTCCGCTTTGATATTTAAAGAAAAATCGGTCACTGTTCATATTTTCTGGTCTTAACGAAACATACTTTCGATAAACATTCAAGTAGATCTGATTAATTACAAATGATCTTGGTTTGTTGGTTTTCGAATCAGGTATGCTGATTAAAAGCTTAGATTCTAAGTCTTCTATATCGTGTACAGTCATTCGGACTAACTCACCCATTCTACAGGCCCCAGAAATACCAAATATTACAGCCACCTAAAAAATAAATAAAGCTATATTCTAAATAGAAATTAAAACCTTGTAAATTACCTTAATCATTAAATTTTCTTTATCTGGAGCTTCCTGGATAAATTTTTCAATTTCTTCCTTCGTTAAAATCTTAGATTTCTTTGCCCTATAACCTTGAGCTTGCCGTTTCAATAAAGAACGAAGTTTTGAGTATGTAGATATATCTACATTGTGTTTAAGTGCAAGGGTTGACTTCAGCATTGAATAATTGGCCCATAATGTTGAAGATTTCATCTTTAAACAAAGGTCTAGGAAGTATGCCATTACAACATTTTCTGAGAAAGAACTCGTATTTTTACTCATGCGATAATCCATAAAACGTCTGTATGCATTTTCGTAGTTTTCTCTTGATTTCTTTGGCAATAATTCTAATGAAGCAGTATTTACTGCCTCAACCAGCTTTGGAGGAGTCCCAGGAATGGAAATTTCATCATCAGCGTCATCATCATAAGCGTCAAGTTTGACAATTCAACCTCAATACGTTTCCATAGTAACCCAAGTAATTTTATTAGGAATTTCAAAGCACCATTTATTTGGGAATAAAATTATCGCGTTTTTTTTTAAATCAATCAATATCTGTCGAATTTTAAACGATTTGCGGAAAAATAGTATGTTTACCTCGTAGGAAAAGCCACATTCCTGGACTCTGTGTTGCTAAGTCTCGGCTTGCGCCTCGACTTAGCAATCTTCACAGTCGTCCAGGAATGTTAAGCTTTTCCTACCCGGTAAACAATGTACTATTTCAGGAGAAAGAAAACAAAATTTGAAACGATAAAAATTCTGTGCTATTTTACATTTTTAGCTAAATATTTTTATATAATATTTAGATCGATATGTCATTTTTATAAATAGCTGGAATAATGTGATGATTGAATTATTGTTTCGCAGATAGATCTTTTTTATTTAAACAAAATGTGGACTGAGTTGGTTCTTCCCCTGAACAGATCAAAAAAAAATTATTTTTATTATTATTTTACTTCGTAAGGCATTTCTACATCACATTAAAAGAATAAACCAAGCTACAAACTACTGAATAACAATAATCTGATTTTTAAAAATCGCTTTGATCGTCGGGAACATCATTGGGCTAAGATGGTAACTCAGGCTGATTGGCAAGTTGGCTATTATAATCTTTAGATCCCTCTTCTTCACCGAATTTCATTAGAACTTTCAGATTAGCACACTTTTTTTGGACACAGGTATAAGCGTTTGGTAGAGCTGATTGGGTTATTAAAGATCGGGTACCTTTGGTTTCCCCTTCTGGTTCTTCCGTTAATCTTTTACTAGGGACGACGTGAAAGATCCGTTATATGTTTCACTGTGATCCACGGTTTTGCATTTTGTTTCAAAAAGCATTAACTGTTTTAGTTGCCGAAATTTCTTTTTGTAGAACTTAGAGGAGAAAAATGTACCCTACTCTTTAAACATAATTTGTTTACATGATACAACAACAAACGGTTGTGGCTTAATTCGAACGGCTTCTATAACCTCTCTCCAGTCATCTGGGGTTTTAGCCTTTGCACTTTTGGGGTTCAATCCATGTTTTGCCCGGTTCCATAAAGGAATGGCCATACACTGGTAATTAATTGTCACAGTGTCAAATCTTTTTAGTGTAGCAGTTACGTAGTAAAAGAACTGGATGATAGTGAGATTTTTGTATTGTCCTCCGCAAGAGTCGGCAAACATATAAACTTTGTTAACTGCAAGATCTAGGTAGGTGTTAAAAAATCATTTAGGCTTTGAGCATCGAGGCAACGTCATCTGACCCCTGTGTTTAAGATGGTTTGGTCGTACGTGTACATGATTGAAAAACCATTTGACAAAATATGAATATTAAAACGGGTTGTACAACTTCTTCTTCTTCGGGTTCCTTCTCCTAGCGGAGGTTGGAAATCATCATCGCTATTTTAACTTTGTTGGCCGCATTTCTAAATAATTCTAATGGGCTGCAGCCGAACCACTGTCTCAAATTTCTTAGCCAGGACATTTTGCGTCGTCCAGGGTTTCTCTTCCCTTGTATCTTCCCTTGCATAATCAACCTCAGTAATACGTACTTCTCACCCCTCATTAAATGTCTCAGATATTGAATCTTTCTAATTTTAACTGTTTTTATGACTTCACATTCTTTATTCATTCTTTGTAACACCTCTATATTAGTTACTTTTTCAATCCACGATATTTTATGCATTCTCCTGTAGCACCACATCTCAAAGGAGTTTAATTTTTTGGTTTCAGACTGCTTTATTGTCCACGTTTCCATGCCATATAGTAAAGTAGAGAAGACGTAACAACGTAGCATTCTTGTGCGAATCTCTAGATTAAGGTTACGGTTGCAAAGTAATTTCTTCAATTTTATGAACGTGTTTCTTGCCATTTCTATTCTAGATCTGATTTCCTTTACTTGATCTCCATCTTCGGTTAGCCACGTTCCTAAATATTTGTACAACTACAACTTGCAAAGAGTTCAGAGGAAAATGGAAAGGTCTATGCTGAGTACATGGCTTCGTGACCGAGTTAAAAATGAAGACGAAGAACAGGAGTTCAAATTCAAATTCAAATATTCAAATTCTTAATTTTCTTTCTGACAATTATAGTTTGCATAGAATTACTTTGTATAGTATAGGTTTGTATAGTTACCGATGTAAATTCCCGAATTGCTATACTGAATGACTGACGATCTGAAGAAAATGCCAAGAAATTGGATGAAAAGTGCTCAAAATAACAAAAATATTTGTTATTTTATATTTGTCGTTCTCTACCTTATTGTTGGCGTCTTTAATTTTGATGATTTTTTGAACTCCCAGTGCGGGTCTTAGACATTTTAAGCCTCTGTTGTTTTCAATGACTCGCTCTATTAAGTTCTCGTTCCATTTTTGTATGTCGCGTTTTAGTTCTTTTCTAATTGATTTATTAAGTTCTCTATATTCTTGAGTATGGCGTTTGTTTTGCGTTAGTAGTTGTCTTCTTTCCGTCATTAGCTGTTTAGTTTCATTGTTTATTTTGTCTTCTTTAGTCCTTGTTTTCTTTGCGACCTGTAGTCCTGCTGCGAGAAGGTTTTTATTTAGGTTTTTATTAATCTCGTCAATTTGATATTGATTATGTGAAGGATCAGATTCGAACTTATCCTCTAAGACCTCTAGGAATTGCTCTTCATTTGTTCTTAGTTTTAAAGCATCTATCCTGGTTGTTTTTTTATAAATCCTGTCAGAAAAAATTCTAGAAACAGAACTAATCACCACTATACAAACCAGAAAATTGGAATATCTAGTCCACGTGATGAGGGAACCAAAATATGAAATTTTGAGACTCATAATATAGGGAAAGATTCAAGGAAAAAGATCTGTTGGCCGAAGGCAGAACTCATTGTTAAAGAATCTACGTGATTGGTATCAATGCAGATCGATTTATTTGTTTAGAGCAGCAAGTTCTAAACTAAAAATAGCCATTATGACTGCCAACCTGCGTAGGGAGACGACACTCTAAGAAGAAATCTTCCCCAGTTAAATTATCATTTCCTTAAATTTAAAATAAAACAAAGTAATATATAGTCAAAACATATTTTTTCCATCTGAAATATTTTGTATCCAAATTAAAACATTTTTGATCAAGAAAATCTTTAAAAAACGACAGGAAGAAGGTTATTAAAAGCGAACATCGTGTAGTCCGGTAATGGAATTTTTGTTTTAATCATTGGACTGGTGTGTAATTGACTTTAACCCTTTTCCTGATTAGCGCGGATAAATGGAACCGGTGGAATTATCGAATTTTCTGTATGAATTCAATTCCTGATGTTTATTTTTACCGGTGTGTTGGTTTTCAATTAAAAAATTAATTAAATATTTTTCTGTTTCTGTTTTGAACTTTCCGATTATTGTTTTTTCAAATAATACTGTACTAATCATTTGCCATCAGCATCGTAAATGTTTTATAAATTGACTGATATTTGTCTTATTTAAAGAGATTTAAATAAATTACAATTTCCGATACACAACAGCAGTAACAGTATACCGATGAATCTTCGAAGTTCGTTTATTTGTCATTAGTTTCACTTTTGCCCAATGTTGAATCAATATTTGAATTTTTTAATTCACATTCTTTCTTATACCTCTTTCACGTTTCCGTCCATCCACTCTTTCTAATATTAATCTCACTTGCAAGTTTTCTAAACATATATAATACATATACCAAAACACTAAATGTATATTTAAACCACCCAAGTCATTTTAACTTTCTCATTATAATTTGAAGCAAAATCTTCTCATCATCTTCGCATCACACATCCACGTACCACACACCCTTGGATTGTTTACCAAACAATTAGCAACAAACTTTGTTATCTTCTAATTTATTAAAGCCTCTATTGTAAAACTTAAATCTTTCAGACTATGTTCCAAGAAAGCATACTTCTGTTCAAGTACCCTCAACAGCTGTTGAGGGTGCTTGGAACCAAAGATATTCATAGAGAAGTAAACTTTAAAATATATAAAACCATCGTACGACCAACAGCAACATATGACTCTAGTTGTAAAGATATTGAGTGTGGAGTACCGCAAGGTTCAGTATTAGGTCCCATTCTTTTTTTTATTTTTCATTAATGACATCACTTACTTGAAAATTAAAGGGAAAATTTTTCTATTTGCTGATGATACCAGTATTACTTGGAGCAGCTCTGAAATTTCAACGCTTCATTCAATTATAACCGATGATTTACTTATAATCAAGGCTTGGTCAGACTCCAACTTACTTAGCTTTAACGTGGATAAGACTGTAGCATTATCTTATAAAGGAGTCATGCAACCCTTGCTTTTGAATGAGAGCCAAATCAATATCGTAAATTCCGTGAAATTTCTAGGTATTCTTATTGACAGTGATCTCAAATGGTCCTTGCATACTGACTCCTTAAGGAAGAAACTAGCCTCAGCTTGCTTTGCAATAAGATCTGTTTCGAAGGAATTAAATTTATCTTCTGCCAAAATGGCATATTTCTCATTGTTCGAGTCCCATCTTCGATATGGGCTTCCATTTTGGAGTTCTAGTACAGCGGCCCAATTTGATACTATTTTTAAGTTGCAAAAAAGAGCAATCCGTTATCTATTTGGTCTCAAACAAACAACTCATTGCAAGACCTACTTAAAAAATCACGGAATTTTGACGCTTCCCTCTTTATTTATTTTGGAAACGGTTTGTTTGATTCGAAAGCATCTAAACATTTTTCCCGATAGACCTGACCATGGCTACTCCATTAAAAATTCGGATTGTAACGTTTATTTGCCGATCCCGTCCACTCAGCTAGTAAAGAATTCTATTCTATATCGTGCAAAGAAACTTTATAATCACCTTCCAAGAGAAATTAAATCCGCAACATCCTTCATTAAGTTTCGTAAGGTGACAAAAATCTATCTCCCAGAAAGACCATATTATTCAGTTGACGAGTTTCTTAATGTATAACAAAGAAACAAAATTAGTATTGTTTATAATTACATTTGGGTGTCTCAAGCAGTGGTTACAATTTGTCTCATTTGTTGTTGTCTGTACAAATTATGTAGGTTATACAATAATTTTACTAATTTAAAATTGTGTTATTCTGTTTTTTACTATATTGTTTTTGTTTTATACTTTTTGTATTATTTGACTGATTTATTTTTTAGCTTTGTCCATAAAATTGTTCAATAATTTTCAGTGACAATAAAGCATATTTCTATTCTATTCTATTCTATGACACAGAAACATGGTTCATGACAGAAAAAATAATAAACTTTATTAATTCTTTTGAAAGAAAGATATTGGGACCCATTTATAATATTAAATTACGCAAAAATACAAAGATCATCATTAGAAAAACAAAGGAAGAGGTGGATCCCTGAATTAAGAATCAATGCTAAAGATATATTGAGAGTGGAAAACTTGAGGAGAGAGAGAACACTAGCAAAAGACAGAATGAAAAGCTGTTATGTACTCAGCATCAATTTAGGATAATGTTTTTTTTAAGCTGCTCTATTTATTCAGTTTTCTTATGTGGCTGTAAAACCTGTGGATGCTTAAAACAAACAGTTTAAGACACTTAGAAACATTTGAAATATGAATTTATAAAAGAATCTTGAAGATACTCTAAACATTGCATGTAGGTACACAATGAGAAGGTTCTTCAAATGCTTAATATTATATAAAGTTGATTTCTAAAATAAAAATGAGGAAAACTGCATACCTTGGCCGTGTTATAAGAAGCGATGAAGCAAAGCTTCTGAAATTAATTACCGAAGGGAAAATAGAATGGCATAGAAAAGTGAGACGACAGAAATATTCGTGGTTAAAAAATATAACTTAAACAGATTTAAACTCACATTCACTCTTTTGAGCTGAGCTCGCTGAGATTATTGCCTTATCTTATACTTCAGCTAAACTTAACTAAACGCTGCATTATTCTTTTAAAAACTGTTAATATTAATGTAAACATAAGTAAATATTTTAAATTTATATCATTTCTGTAATGATAATCGCTTAGGTACAAACCAAAAATATCTATAAAACATTTCCAAAGGGAAGACAGAGACATGTTTTTTTATTAAATGTTTCAAACGCCAGATATTTAAAGTTTATGGTAAAAAATTTTAAATTATTATTTGCTTTTTAATATTATATTTAAACATCTTATTTTAAATTAATGTTAGCAGAGGATTACCGACAAA